AAGTTCAACTTCAAAAATATTGAACAATTTTATTATAAATTCTGTTGTTTCTAAGAAGTGGAAGTTTTAAAAGAAAACTTACTTATCAACAATAACTCATCATCCAAACTCAATAACTTCATGTTTTAATTTGGCATTAATTTATCTATGAATGTAACAATTTATTAGTAACAGAAAAAACACTTTAATATAAAACTGAATTACTCTAAAAAAGAAAATAATAAAATAAACCTCAAATAAGAAACAAAATTTTTAAAACAAAAAAGAAAAGTCAAGAAAAGATTGTTTTTTTTTTGTCCTTTTTAAAGTCTTTAGTTTCAATTTTTTGATTATCTGTGGTTGTGTAAAACAACAAAAAAAATGTTATTTTTAGAGTTACATGATTTAGTATTTCATTACTTTGAGAAAAGTGAATGAAATAGATATTATTAGTTTTTGTATGATAAAATATTAAATTTAATAGTTTAATAAATCTCATTCTAAAATTTATGTGTAAGTTACTTCTTTTTTAAATCAACCATTAATAATGTATTTTTGGTTTTGATGAAGTTTAAATGATTATTTATATAGTTTTATATAACATAATTTCCATAAATAGATTACGAATAAAAAAGAATAAGAAAAATTTTTTCTGTTTAATTAACCCTTTTTAAGAAGAACTTTAATTATTAAAGATAACAAAAAGATGAGTAAATCCGTCATTCCATTAACGGTTTGAGAGAAATAATTAAGTCACTAAATGTTTAAGAAAAAAACATTGATATGTAGATTATTTTAGTAGGAGGTTCTGGAGTTGGGAAAACTTGTTTAGCTAATCAACTTGTCAATGTTTGTGATTGATTAATTTTAGTAAATGAAAAGAAAGACATACTTACATAAAAGAAATGTTTTGATGAGTCAACAGAATCTACATCTGGAACAGATTTGTTCAGATATAAAATGGATCTTGACCAATGTGTTGTTGATTTGACATTAAAAGATACTGTTTGTTAAATTAATTATTTTTTGTGTATTATTATATCATATAAGTAAGTTTGTGAAAAATAAAATGATATGGTATTTATTTAGTAGTGTGGTCAAGAGCAATATAGGTCTCTTGTTGCGCAATTTTATAGAGAGACTCAAGGGGCATTAATTGTTTATGATATTACTAGGTTTGTTATTTTCATTAGTACTAAGAAGTACAAAATTTTTAAAACAAAAATAAGAAAAAAATTTACAAAACTTACTTTTTGTTTAGTCGAGATAGTTTTGAAATTGTACAAGATTGGATTACTGATGTTTGTTCATATTGTCCTCAAGGTGTTAAAGTCATGATTGTTGGAAATAAGATTGATTTGGAAATGGAATCTAGAGAAGTTTCATACGAAGAAGGGAAACAATATGCTAATGAACGAGGATATGAATTTTTTGAAACCTCTGCTAAATTGAATGTTAAGGTTGAAGCTGCATTTAGGGGGTTGGTTCAAAGTATTTTACAATCTCGTAATTTCCAAACAGAAGTTCAAACAACTACAAATGAACCAACAATCAAATTACAAAAACAAAGTACTAATAAAACACAAGAACAAGTTGAACAAGAAAAGAAAGATGGGTGTTGCTAAGAAGTTTACTTTTTATTTGTCATTTATTTTTTTTATTTTTAGAGAAAAAATGAAAAACATAGGAAGAACTTAAAAAAATAATTTAGTTAGATGGAGTCAAAAGGAAAGACTAAAGAAGAAAAAGAAAGTGTTGTTGAGGAAAAGAATAAAGACAAAGCACCAAAGGGAAGTGTTAGTGAAAAGAAAAGAAAGTCAAGAAATGGATTTGTATTACATTTTAATGCATTGTTATATCTTTTATTAAAAAAGGGGTGGACAATTCAATTAACAAAAACAAAAACTGCAAAAGTAACACTTCAAAATTATAAGTGTATTCATTTATATAAAAAAGGGATGATGATAGAAGAATATATTAATGAAGAAAATTTAAATGAATTGTCTTCTTTATTTGAGGATATTTTTAAAGCAAAAGAGTGTTCTGATGACAAAAATATTAAACTAGAACAAGCTGACTTAATACCTCATGAAAATTCTTCTGAAACTGTAAGTGATGATAAAACTGAATAATTCATCTTGTTTTATAAAAATCATTTCTTAATTAAGTGGTATATCTCTTTGGTCTGGTGTCCAGTCTGGATATTCAGACACTCTTCTTATTGGTCTTGCTGGACTTCCAACTGCAATCATATTGTCTGGAATATCATGAGTAACAACACTTCCTGCACCAATTACTGCATTCTCTCCAATAGTTACACCTGGAAGTACAATAACTCCAGCCCCAAGCCATGCACCATCTTTAATGACAATTGGTTTTCCTAAAGCAGTGCAAGCACCATAATTTCTTATTTTTTCACAAGTAGTATGAGAGATACCAATTAAATTACAATTTGGACCAATAAGAACTCTATTTCCAATGGTAACAGGTCCTCCTTCAAGAATAGTACAATTAAAATTAATAATACAATTATCACCAATGCTGATGTATCTTCCAAAATTACAATAAAATGGTCCTATCATTTTTACGTGTTTTCCTACATGACCAACGATAGTTTCAAATATTTCCATTCTTTTTTTGGCATTCCATTCATTATTGTATTTGACGAGTTTTTCATTTAAAATTTCATCATCAACAGCAAGTTCAGGGAAATCACAAAAGAAAAGCTTTCCTTCACAAAGACTCTTAAATTCTGTTTCAGAAGTATGATTAGACATTAATGAATATTTGTAATTTGAAGTTTAAATATTCAACTTTTTCCTTCAATTAAGTTCTAAAAATACTAAAACAACGAAAATAAAGAAAATTCCAAAGAAGAAGAGAAAATATAATCGAAAACGGTTAACAAGGATTATTTAAATTATTTACTTTGGGTTAACACTTCATCAAATTCAAGGATATTGTCTGAAATTGCTACGGATTGACTTCTATTTTTCTTTTCAAAGTCTTTTCTGACAAATTTCTTCTTTTTTAAAATTGCTTCTACTTGTTGTCTTTCAATAGGATTTAATTCAATAGTTTTGCAATTGTCTAAAGAAAATAGTCCTGTATTTCCTCTTTCATCAATACCAATTGCCCATCCACTTCTATGAATCCAAACAACATTGATGTGCATTCCTATAACTAATGAAAGTATTTTTCCATTATCAAATTTATTTGGCTGTCTTGTTACTTCCACTTTCTTAATTGTTGTCCAACGTTCTTTTGGAATTTTTTGAATGATGTTATAACAATGTATATATCCTCTATTAATTGCACTTTCAGCAGGTGTCAATCCTCGTATATCTTTGATCATACAATCACAACCACTTTCAACAAGAGTTGAAACTGCTAGTGCGTCGTTTTTGATAACAGCAATATGCAAGGGTGTTCTACCACATCCATCTTGATAGTTCATTAACAAGGGGAATTTTTTCAAAATTAATGGAAGTAAATAAATGAAACTTTTATTACAGCAATAATGAAGGAAATTGAGTTTATTCTTATCTGGTTGGCAAGTCATTGCTGGTGCTTTTTTAAGTAAGTATTTCACTATATCATAATTACCACCTAAAACAGCATAATGGACAGGGCTTCTTTGTGTAGTTGTAAAACAAACGAGTGGATGATGGCAATGTTCTATTAACAAAACTACCATTTTTAATTTTTTAGTCAAACATGCAATATGTAAAGGTGTTTCTCCAACATTATTTGGTTGATTAAATAATTGACCTACAAGTGAATATAACCATTTAACCACACGAAAATTAGAGTTTTGAACAGCATAATGAAAAACGGTATTTCCGTTATAGTCTCTATCGTTAATAAAACTTGGATCAATGTTAAACAATTGTTGGGCTATTTCTAATTTTCCATGAGCTACAGCACAAAGTAATGGGGTTGTTCCAGAAAGAGTTTGAGTTTGTAGAGAAGCTCCTTTTGCAAGTAAATATTTTAATGATTTTGTACTTCCACATGCAATTGCTAATGTTAAAGGGGTCATTCCATACGAATTTGATTTAGAAAAGTATTGTTTATTAGGATAAAAGTAATCAATGGTATTGATGTCATTTGATTTGAGAGCACAATGGAATGGATAATTGCCATTAGTATCACTCTTATTTAAAGAATCATTATCTAATTCAATAAGTTTTTTAATTAACGATAAGTGCCCAATTGACGCTGCATGATGAATAGGTAATTGACCATAATTATCAGGAACATTGAGAGGTGATAATGGAAGAAGAATGTTAATTGTGCTAATTTGTTTATGTTTTATTGCAACAATAAGTGGGATTTCACCCATCTCATTCTCAATTTTTGTATTAGCGTCATGTTTCAATAACCATTGAAGTGACTCATTTGTACCATATCTAGAGGCTATGTGAAGAGGAGTTGATATTCCATCATTACAATTGTTATTTACTAAATCAGTAATACACCAGAAATTATTTAATTTATCTAAAAATTCTGAACTATTAATAAATACTGCGTAATGAAGAACAGAATATCCTCGTAAATCTATTGCTGCTAACATTTCTCTTCTACAGTGCTCAATTAAATAATTAACAACTGAAAGGTGGTTGTTTCTTAAAGCACTAAAGAGAGGAATAATTCCTTTTTTGTTATACACCATTGGCTCAGCTCCTAGTTCTATTAATTTCTGAACAGACTCCAAAAATCCAAAGGCACAAGCAAGATGCAGAGGTGTATTTCCCTTTTCATCAATACAATTTACATCAAATTCTAATGAATGAACAATATAATCAATAAAATCAAATCTATTTTTATACACAACAATATGTAATGCTGTAGGTGCTTCCTTTGAACTTTCTTGTTCTTCAACGTTTGGTCTTTCATTAAAGTACCCGAAGGTGAAAGGATTGCATCTTTTCATTTTATTCTGTTATAATTAACAGTTCTCCTTTAAATGAACATTAAACTAACTAAAATCTTTATATAGTAAAATTAAAAAATAAAAACTTCAAAACTAAGAAACCAAATTTGAGGATTACAATTTCTTATTATCCTTAAAACGAGGAGAAGTTGGTAAGAAACCTAAAAACAAAGGTTCTGAAGGAGAAACTTGCATGGCTTCTTTCCAGTTTAATAAAATTGATTTATAATGTTTGTTTGGAGTCCAACGTTTTTCTTTAACAAGTGTTGCTAACGTTTCTACCAATTCTTTTGAAGTATAATTAAAAGTAATTGTTATAGCAATAAAACCCATTTCCATTGTTAAAGCAAAAGTTAAATTTCCAAAGAATAATGAGATAAATACTAACACGAAATATGGGAGTTGTGACTATTTAGATTAGTTTCTTTTAATACTTATAAAGTTCATGATAAAAAATTTAGCAAATAAGAAAAGAAATAAAGAGGAATAACAAACTATATCAACATGAGTAAATAAGAAATAAACATGACAATCAACAATTAACATTGAAATCCATAAATAAAAAAGGAAGAGAAAGAAGTACCTATAATTATGAAATCCTAAACTATTACCAATAAATCCACAATAATGATCATATCGATAAATACATTTATTTGAAGTGCTACAATGATGAACTCGATCTCCTTTATACATTTTACAATTATCACAATACTCATATTTTTCTTTTTCTGTTTCATTAATTTGGTAATATTGTTGAGGTATACATTCAGGTGTGACATAGTGACATTGATAAAAATTATATGTAACTAAAAAGTACATAATATTTCCAAGAATCAACCAAAAAATATAATGACTTGAATCTCCATATACCTTTGGTAAAAGAAAGATAATTAATGTCATTATTAAAATGTAAGTAATCCCAATTAATGGAAATATAATGTATACGGGTATTTTTTTTAATTGTTCAGAAGTAAAATATACCTTGAGAAAGTCTTTATGTTTATTGGTTTGTTGTGGTTGTTCACCCATTTAATTTTCGTTTTAATTCTTAGTTCTTTTACTAAATTTTTACTAGAAAATAAGCTATACACTTTTTTAAAAATTTGTAAATTTTTACTAGAAAAATTCATTTCTTCTTTTTCATTATTCGTTAAAAATTAATTTGAATTAATTGTTTATAATAGTTTTTCATTTACATTTTTTGTTGTACAAGATATGATTGTTTTATCCTTTTTGAATTTTTTTTTTGTTCAATCAAAGATCTTCTTATTGAAAATGATAAATTATTTATACATTTATTGTTCATAACAAACAACCTTATTTTTTAAATGAACCTTCAAAATAATGTCTGTCCTTTCTTTGTTTATGTAAAATGATACCTAGCTTAAATTTTATTTATTTTTATAATAATTCATAACTCCTTCATTAATACAATGATCAATTTCAGATGAAAGTTTAATGTCATCTAATCTAACTGATTAGTGTCTAAATCCTCATTTCACAATGCAAATTCTTCTTTTTCATTAACCTCAACTTATTTCTAATTAAAGTTTCTAACAATGCCTATTTTTTAAAAAGTTAAGTAAATTTGTTTCACTAAACAAATTGTACAACAAGTACAACCACACATTTTCCAACTAAAAAACTTCTTAGAAACAAAATAAAATTAAAAGTCAATCTTACATCCACCCTAATGGGTAATCAAGGTGGATGTCATCATACTTTGACCTTGTTGATTGAGTGTTCTTATGCGCTTTTTTTAATCCAAACCCATCTGTCCCCATTGTTCCATACACCTTCCCTTCTCGTTTCAATACAGTCACTTTAAACTCATCACCAAAAAGACAGACATTATGCGCACAATGACTCAGCTTTTCACAGTCTTCTTCACTTTCATAAACTAACTTCACTACTTTACTTTTGTCATCAATAGAACAAATTTTGAAACTTAGAATATTACCAATGCAATTAAAATAACGAAACATAACATCATTTGTAACATTTGAAGGAACTCTCAACCAGATTTTACCCTTTGAGTTTTCCATACCATTCACTTTCCCACATCCTCTTCTTAAATATATACTGACTTTTCATCTAGAGATGACTTTTTAACTCAATAAGATTAAATCTTATCCAAAAAATAAACTTACTGAACTAAATTAAAAACTTATTTCTTATTTTTTGAGTGAACTAAATTGATAATATATTTTATAAATAAAAT